TTTTTTTTTTTTTTTTTTGCAACTTATGTACGGTGTTTATAGAAAAAATTGATGATGTTTACTTGATCACAAGGATATCTGCTCATTTAAACATTAAAGTTGCCAAGAAATTTAGAACATTCTGGTAAAAAATACCAACAACTTGATTGAACAGAAACTTCTCAAAGAACATAAATAAACGAACTGAATGTTAACTGAAATACTAACACTAAGATACTGCACACAAATACACGTTTACTAAACGAGCATTGACTATTGTATCTCCTCTTGGCCCTTTTACCGTGCTTTATACTTTTGAACATACTTGAATACATCAATTTATATATTTCAAGAAAAAAAACCTTGGAAGAAGATATTAGAAACTTTATATGAACCATAATAGTACAAAATACTCTTTGAATTATTCTCCAATATACCTTTAAGCAGAACTAGATTAACCAGCGACATCTATTCTTCAGCAATTCTAATAAATGTTTCTCATTGAAATTTGCTTCCTTCTCTAATGCCTCAAATGTGCAACGTTCACCAGAAATAACTTACTTTTATTTTTTATCATTTATCCATCCTTCATAACAGTGTAATCTATGAATACAAGCAAAAGACAAAAATCATTAATGCATTTTATCGATATTTTTTTGCACAAACGATAGTATTTTCAAATGACGACTAGCATGAAACATTTTTCACACGAAAAAGCAAATTTACATCTCCAGTGATATTCGAAACGAAAGCTCAAATTAGAGAGCCAACAACATATTCACTTTCTTTCCTTTCTTTCCTCCGTACAAATAAACTCATACGTCTCATAATAGTTTCTTTTCAATATGGTAACAACTCAAGACTATTCAATGAACAGCCAACGGTTATCCATTCTAAGGAGCACCTAAAACATCGACACAAACCTACCTTCAAGGCAATTATAAAATGAAGATATATCAATTACAATTTAATTAAGCATGAAGCACTTTAACACTACGATGTGTTAAGAGACGTATATAGATCATAATTATGAAAGTGTAGAGTTCACAACAGCTGATTTTTTCAACAATGAAAAAGAACAAGATATGGATAAAAATAAACCATATTGACCACTTAATTCTCGCTTAACATATGTTTATTCTATTTGCCATGTTACTATTAAAAAAAAACCACTCATTTAAATTTCAAGAATATTTTTTACCAGATTATGTGAAATAAGTTGATGCTAAATGTCAACCAAACGACAACACAACTTTTTTCTTCCTACGATTCCGGCGAACTTTCTTCTTTCCAACTGGAACGAAAGCCTCCACTGGTTGCAAAACATTCTTCCTCTTTTCCTTCTTTCTCTTAAAGAAGATACACACCGTTAACACAAAGAAAGTTTAAGTTATTTTGAAAAGAAAACTTTGAAAAAAATTGTGAGAAGCATAACAACAATCAGTTTGACAACTTTAAATGGAATAAATTAAATTAACCGAGTTTGCCCGCTCAACAGGAGTTAGTAAAGTATCTACCAAATTGAACAAGCCAGCGTCTTCATACCCAGTAGATATGCCTAATGCATTTATTCTTCCCATATTAAGCGGTTTCTTAAGCGATTCACTCATATTTCTCAAAACATAAACCTTGGTCTTCGAACAGCTGAAAATTGACACCTTTTAGGCTGTAGGCGTTACCCACCAACAACAGAGTAATAAAAAACAAACAAATTTGTAATCAAGAAGAGATGCAAACTTTAAAGCATATAAGCCCAGACAGGTACCCACGGCAGACGGCTGTATAACTCCCAAATCGAAGAAGACAATGGAAAACAAATCTTTGTCCATTCCTCTTAGAACCGATCTAAGACCAATCGACGCAACCTTAGGCTAAAAAAATGGGAAAAACCATAATCACATAATTATTGGTCAACATTCTGCTGAAAGCTGTTTGAAATATATTTCTAACTTTGTCTTCCTAGCTACTTTCAACTATTCAAAAAAAATAGTAGCATTAATAGCCTTCAAATTCACGACCTAGACCTCATTACTGACCAATTCCACACTGCGGCAAACAGCTAAATGTTTAACTTCGTAACATTTTATTCATACAGTAATTTTTTGATGTTGTTACTGACATGCGTATTAAGACCTCCTACTAACAGATTTCACATATAGGCAAGAAGTTTTTATCATAACTGAAACATAACACTCCTAGAGTCTTAGTTCTGAAAACTTTTTTAAAAGGCCGTGTCCAAAAAACATTGAAAAAACATAGCAATCTCAAACCACTTAGTAGCAAAACCTACTTGAACACAATTTTATCTTTAAAAAAAATCATTGTAGCTGAAGACGTTTATTTACTAACCACGTTTTGCTGTACTAATTTTGTCGCACTATCTTCTGGATCACAGCTACCAGATGCCAAATCCTTCAGTGAACAAGAAGGCGTCTGTATCTCAACTTCAACCTTCTTCACATCCGACTTTTCAACATTCTTTTCCCTCGGATTCCAACTTTTAAGCTTCGCTTTTCGTTTAAAACCCTTCTCAACCAGCCAGTTACTCAAATACTGAAGCACTTCAGTCGAATCCTTATCATTAGGTATGTGCCAATCAAATTTTAAACTACATTTGAGATACGGTCTTGGTGAGCGAATTTTCATCTGTAAAGTTTCTGACTTATCAATTTTCAATGAAGCCACACTGGAACAAAGACGGATTACAGAAGTAGTTTGTTATGGTTAAAAATACCAAATTATTTAACAATATCAAACTGACTCAAGAACTTCACCGTCCAAAAATTTAATTTAGTAAGAGACGTCTTTTTTGACTGCTCTACTCCCATCTTTACAATGAAAATTCAATTCGTTGGAGAACCCCCTCAGAATTGCTCTCTCTCTTGTAAGGCTCTCTATTTTTTCCTGAACACGAATACTCTGAGAATGCAAATTATAAGAATGAGCAGATAAACTATCTGACCATTGCAGTAGGATTGAACAACAAATTTCTATAGCAGAAGAAAGGACTTAGCAGATAAGCCCCCTACAGTTTACGAGTAGGAAGAACCCGAGCAGAGAAAAAATAAACACTGACCAACAAGTACAATCCAAATGACTTGAGCAAGAAAACACTTATCAGCATAAACGAACAAAAAACAAGCACACTACCCAGTCTGCCCCACAGTGCACCGACAAATGTGTTCGCTCAGCGACCAAATGCATAAAGAATTGCCGATCGCCACCAACTAACAAAGGCAACTACACCTGCTTAACTTGATTTTAGTTTTGCCCAAAACAAGAACCACCAGCAAAAACTTACACCGAAAACAACGAACTGAAATATGAACACAATACGATCGCTTTTTAAAAAACTCTGAAATTTTTTTCTAATTTAACTCCCAATTAAACCAGAAAAGTTCTAAAAACTTTGTTAACCAATAAACAACCTTCCTCCCATCCTATGCCTCATAAAAAAAAACTGAAAAATAATACTGGAAGCCGAACAGCCCATCAGAAAAACTTGGGGAGACATCGATATAAACTATATCCAAAAAAAAAGAATGAATTATGTGAAATATAATATAATCATCACATTTATTTTCTAGAGAATTACATTATTTTATTCAGACATTATCTGGAGAACTTCATACAAAACAAAAATTGTCACATCTACAACAATAAGACATACAACAACTTCAGAGCTTCACTGAAAAAAACCAAATAGAAAACTTCAAACTCGCTTCCACTAATGAAACTAACAAATTTACCAACTCTGAGTAATAAATAACAAGCGCATGAAAGAGGTATGCCTTGTCCCAATCCACCGGATAAGGTACTGCCGATTCAAAATCAAACTTTCAAAAGGAATCTCAAAACAAACGTTAATTAATGGAAAGCGGGCCAATTTTAGGCATAACTCCAGTCCTTTTTATGAAAAAGCAGTTAATAATCACGCCAGAGGTGAGATCACTGGAACATTATGGCTGCCCGTAAATAAACATATGTGTAACATAGTTATGAGGTTATAAAACGACAATCTGCCTCATATACAGCAGCAAATGCCGTGAGTTCAAGTTCGAAAAAGCAAAAATATAATCATTTTTCCCAATTTACTCATCATTTAAACAGCATAACGACATCTTCGAGGTGGCCCTGCATCCATCTTAAATGAGGAAAGAAGAAAAATTCTTTACATCATTAAAAAACAATTAATTACAACCGCAGAGCAATAAACTGCTGGTAATTCTTCAGGACGTTAGAGTCAACTGTGACGTTTTTAAATAGTTCTGCTTCCAGAGTATCTCGATAACGCCAAAGCGTCTCCCAAAACTGAAATTTTTCGCAGAATTAAGTGAGAAAGAAAAAAACCAATAAAAGAATAAAGGAATTGTCCTTGCTAGTAATGAAATCAAACTGAAAACTTACCAGTAAAAATATGCCTTGAAATCGACCAGTTATCAAACGATACCAGTCCGTATTAAAATTAGTACCGGTTGCTTCGCAGCTCACGATATGTTCAGTCAAAAGAATTGTAAACTTCTAAAAAACCAAAAAATAAAAGAATAGAAGGCAAAAATAAGCCCTAACAAAAAAGTGAAGAGAAGTTTATTTTGCATTTCGAATGAAAGTAAAAACACTATGCAGATGAACTGAAAAAGAAAAGACTTACATGTAAAACAGAAAGAAGTATGTTTTTTAAAAATTCTCTTAGCTCAGCAAGTTCATTTTCTTTTGCAGTTATTTCATCATCAACAGCAGTCATGTCCTCCTCTCCATCGTCTTC